TTTGCTAGCATGTGAAATAAATGCTATTGTATGGCAGTTTGAACATTCTTTGGCACTGCCTTTCTTTGGGATTGAAATGAAAACTGACCTTTTTCAGTCCTATGGCCACTGCTGAGTTTTCCAAATTTGCTGGCATATTGAGTATAGCACTTTAACAGCATCATGTTTTAGGATTTTAAATAGCTTAACTGGAATTCTATCACTGTTTGTGTTTAAGAATCAAGGAAATATAGTTCATAGAATGACACTGACCAAAACTTTGGAGCTTTTTGTGGTAAACATATCTTTCCAGCTAGAGTCCCTTATTTATCATCAGTGTCTTATATCTGAAAGAGAAGAGCCAAAAGTTCCATTGGGTCATATTCTCCCATTTTCAGGTGCATAGTCAAGTGGAGTCACAACACCGATTTACTGGGAAGCTCATCAACTTCAGCTCCCCATTTCCCCGGGCCTCTGTTAATGTCCTGGGAAGGGCCCTAGTAATTTGTTTATATGGTCAGATATATTTCTAAAACATGCAAATTTGTTTTCTTTTCTTTTTCGTAAAGTGGTTCCCATTGTATAAGTTGCCAGCCCCATTAAACTTAGAATCACACCTGGATGTCTCCTAAGGTATCAGTGTGGCACAGTTTGTGTTTAGGGTCATCTGTCTCTCGAGTTCTCCCTTGGCCTGTGTTTCTCTTCCCCTCTATCCAAACCTGCTCCTGGGAAGGACAAATACCATGTGATATCGCTTGTAAGTGGAATCTAAAACATGACACAGATGAACCTACCTGTAAACCAGAAGCAAAAACATAGACAAAGAGAACAGACTGGTGGTTGCCAAGGGGCGGAGGCTGGGAGAGGGATTCATTGGGAGTTTGGGATTAGCAGATGCACACCGGTATATACAGAATGGATAAACAACAAGGTCCTACTGTATAACACAAGGAACTATTCAATGTCCTGTTATAAACCATAATGGAAAAGAATATGAAAAATAATGTATATATGTATAACAGAATCACTTTGCTATATAGCAGTAATTAACAAAACATGGCAATTCAACTATATTTCAATAAAATATTTTAGTAAAATAAAATTATTACAGAGGAAATAACCTTGCTTTTGGAAAAGGATCATCTATTTTATATTAAGGCCTTAGTGTGACTTTAAATCAGTGTAGTTTACCTCTCCTTGGGTTATTTACATTCTGCATTCTCCCACTAAAGTAGAATCAAATTATTTTTCTAAAATGAAGTATCTGGCATTAGCAAACTGACTAAAATATTACTCAGAGCCACAAAGAGCCCTTTCTTTCACCCTTAAACACATACCCAGAGGAAACTCTCCTACTATGCCTACATATTGGCATAGCCCATTTGTGTGCTGTGTGTGTTAAGTCACTTCAGTCATATCCAACTCTTTGTGACCCTATAGACTGTAGCCCGCCAGGCTCCTCTGTCCGTGGGATTCTCTGAGCAAGAATACTGGAGTGGGTTGTCATGCCCTCCTCCAGGGAATCTTCCTGATCCAGGGATTGAATCCAAGTCTCTTGCATTTCCTGCTTTGGCAGGTAGGTTCTTTACCACTGGCACCACCTGGGAAGCCTCATAGTCCACTTATGGTTGCCTAAATCAGTTTCTATCTATTCAACATGGTGCTACAAAATTAGTAGTGAATTAGATTCTTTTGGATTTGAACGGCAGAGATAGAATATCCGAATGTGATGAGACAAAGGTTTACTTTGCTTCTTTCACACTTTTACCACTATTTTACTCTATTCATTCACCTTCCCCTCCCTAACTGTCTCTCTGCAATATTGACTGAGCGCCTGCTAAGTGATAGGCACTGGCATATTGAAACAAGCATTCAACATGGGCTTTCCTGGTGGCTCAGGCAGTAAAGAATCTGCTTTCAATGCAGGAGGCTCAGGTTGAATCCCTGAGTCGAGAAGATGCCCTGGAGATGGAAATGGTCATGACTGAGCAAATTAAAAGATGCTTACTCCTTGGAAGAAAAGTTATGACCAACCGAGACAGCATATTAAAAAGCAGAGACATTGCTTTGCCAGCAAAAGTCCGTCTAGTCAAGGTTATGGTTTTTCCAGTAGTCATGTATGGATGTGAGGGTTGGCCTATAAAGAAAGCTGAGTGCCAGAGAATTGATGCTTTTGAACTGTGGTGTTGGAGAAGACTCTTGAGAGTCACTTGGACTGCAAGGAGATCCAACCAGTCCATCCTAAAGGAAATCAATCCTGAATATTCATTGGAGGGACTGATGTTGAAGCTGAAACTCCAATCCTTTGGCCACCTGATGTGAAGAACTGACTCATTTGAAAACACACTGATGCTGGGAAAGATTGAAGGCTGGAGGAGAAGGGGATGACAGAGGATGAGATGGTTGGATGGCATCACCAATGCATGAGTTTGAGTAAACTCTGGGAGTTGGTGATGGACAGGGAGGCCTGGCATGCTGTGGTCCATGGGGTCGCAAAGAGTTGGACACGACTGAGCAACTGAACTGAACTGAGCAAATATAGATAGATTATTGAATGACTCAATCAATATATCAATCAATCAAACACTAATTTTTTCCAGTGGTAATACTACTGTTCTTAACCTACTAGTGTGTTTTCATTTTTGGTTTTCTTCATTAGAGAAGGTTAACATTGTCATTGTCCTCATTTTCCTTTAATTGTGCATCCAGTTATTCTATGATCTTTAAGACTAACTGTTATTCTTCTACTCTCTTCCCCTTTGATATACTTTGATATAACTAGTAGGTAAACCAGAGACTGACTGAGGAAAAAGTTTCCTTTTTAATCTGTTCATTACTTCCAAAGGATTAAATGCTTGCCTGCCTTACCTACTTCTATGATCCTGTCACTAAGATATATTGGTAAAAGTGCTATAATGTTACAGCATCTATTGAGATTTCAAAAGAATTACTCTTTATCAATATAAACAATCATAAATAATGATGATATTAACAAAAAATATTGGCTTCCCTAATATTTGAATTTCCCTTCCTTTACAAACTACAGTAGATACACCACCATGGGCTCCTGCAGCACCCTAAATTCCACTGTTATATGAGTCATTGCATCTTACTATCATTGTTTCACTAATTATTTTCCCACTAGAACTTAAAGTCTGTGAGTATAACCACCATATCCTTCTTGCTCATTGTTTTATCCTCAGGAGTTTGGAATACACAAGAATGTTATAAATAGTTTATAAATGAAGGAAGGAAGGGAAGAAGGAAGGAAGGGAGAAGGGAAGGAAATTTTCAAATATTAGGGAAGCCAATTGTTCAGTTTATTTAGTATTCAAAATGCAATCATAAGGACAGTATTTTTGAAAATACTTCCCTTATGACTGGGATTTCACCAACTCCTTCCTGTGCTTATTGAATTGCTGAAAATAATATCAAAAAGTGTTATTTCCTCCTCTGACTCCTCTAGGAAATGAAGACACAAATCATAGAGTCCAAGTGACTTGAGCCAAAATGGTTCATCTTGGTTCTTATGTTATTGTTTTGGAGTCTGCCCAGCTATCCGCACTATACCATCTGCACTGTATCCTAAACATCTCTCACTTTCCCATCGGACTATTGGCTGCATTGTGAGATTCTCAACTCTTCCCCTTGACTCATCTCTCAAAGTACAGACAATTATTTTCATTCTAATGGAAAAGAGCGAGTGCGTGAATCACCCAAACGAGTGGGTTGTCCAAACACTGTTTGGTTTTCAAATGCATCATGTAGATTTTCATATAACCAGAATTCACCCACTGCTCAGAAAACTAAACATTCTTAAGTGGCAGTCCAAATTTGGGAACCACAGCTGTTTTTAGCAATTGCGTCACTGTCTTTCAGGTGCCAAAAATATCACCTATCATATTCTCCAGGGTTCAAAGAAAGAGGAAAGAGGAAGAAAGCAAAGAACAAGTTGAGAATAAAGGTAACAAGAAGCTTCTCCAGTAAAATGAATTGTTATTAAAAAAAACTTTAATAACTGAAAGAACAATAATTATGACAATAAGAACTACTATTCACTAGCAATGAACAAACCAGGGTCTCATGTGATCTTCCTAATCTTCCTGTGAGGGAAGGAGGATAGTACAATGGTTGCTATCAAGTACTAGTTCCAGGAACTGTTGTGGATATCAAAATCTGCAGTTGCTTAAGTCCCATATACAAAATGGTATAGTGTTTGTATTATAACCTATGCACATTCTTCCACGTATTATACTTTAAATCATCTCTAGATTACTTATAATACCTAATACAATGAAAATGCTAGGTAAATAGTTGCCAGTACCTGGCAAATTCAAGTTTTGCTTTTTGTAACCTTCTAAAATGTTTTTTTTTTCTTGAATATTTTCAATCAGTGTTTGGTTGAATCTACAGATGCAGAACACACAGATACAGATAGAGAGGGCTGACTGTGTTCTTAGCAACAGATAGAGAGGGCTGACTGTGTTCTTAGCAACCTCATTTACAGGTGAAGAAACAAAATCAGAAAGGGTAAGTGAATGGCTGAGGGTCATACAATCCAAGCCACTAGACTTCAAATCCTGTCTTCTGTCTCTTCTTCAAACAGCCTCACCACCTTGCATGAATTTGTTTGGGTAGGAAATCTACCCTTTTTCCACTGCTAGGACCTAAGGAGAGATCAATAAGATTTCTCTGAACTTCTCGAAATAAAAAAGAAACAGAGATTCCATTTCTAGCTTTTGGATGAGAGTTCCATGTATACACCTAATAAAATGTTTACTTGGACCATCTCCAAGCTGGTTGGGGGAGGGGGGGCTCACAGGAAAGAACTTTGATCACTCTGCCCCAGACTGTACCCTAGTATCAAACTTACTAAACCCCCATTCCACCCACAGGGGATTTCAGGGACAGACAAAGTAACTTTTCAACTGATAAATCTCTTCTGGTCTCCTAGCCTTCGTCTCCCCAAATCAGGCCAGTACCTAGCATATCCTCTGCTGTGGTGAGAGACTCCCCTTCTCAAGGCCCTAACCACTGGGTCCAGGTTACTGTAGCCAATAGAAGGTCTATCCTATGAATCAAACCTCAATGAATCTGTGATCTAAGAACAACCCTAGCAGATACCCACTTAAGGCAATTTCTGGCAAGAGTTTTATAAAAGAGACTTGGAAAAAGAAAACCAGTCAGAGAGAGAACTGAATGGGCTACTAAATAAAACAAGGAGGCTGAAACTTTGGCAGACAGTATTTTCCCAAAGTGACTGAAAAAATGTTTCTGGTCTTATGTGCCCTTCCAGAACCTCATCACTCCCTTATCAAGAAGGGTTTATTTCCTCTTCTCTTAAATCCCTAAGGGTCTTAGTGACTGTCTTAATGAATCGACTATGGTTGAAGCAATGCCCTATGACTTCTGAGGATAGGTAGAAAAGTTAATAGAGCTTCCACCTGACTCGCTCTCTTGGGCATCTGACTTTAAAACCTTGAGAGGAAATCCAAGGCTACATGGAGAGGTATTCTGGTTATCAGCCCCACAAAGGTGATAGCTGACAACTGACATCAACTTTCAGAGTGAATGAGCTTTCTGATGATTCCAGTCACTGGCCTTTGAATTAGCCTAGCCTTCATGTTTTCCAGTTGAAACTAATGGAGCAAAGAAAAGCCATCCTATGGGAATTCCCGACTCATAGAATTCAGGGTCATAATAAATGATCGTTTTAAGTCACTAAGTTTTGGGATAATTTATTGCACAGCAAGACATAACCAGAACAGAAACATAAGCCTAAGGGGACCACCGAGCATTTTGTATTTGCCAGAGCCAAAAGGTGGTTCCAGGCCCTACTGCTAATTCTATCTACCTCCTGCCAGGTGCCTTCTGTACATATAGGCCATTTCTCTTCGAGGCTCCACTGCTCCTTTCTGCAATCACACTTGGCTTTCCTTTTCTGTGTCCATCAGACGTGTTTTTAAAGATCTGAATTTCAATTGTGCCCAGAGTTTGAGACCTTTTCCTTAAGTTTCTTCAGGCTTGCCTGGACAATTCAGGAAGCAAGTTTAGTCTCTAATTTCAGTCTCTGAACATTCTGTGATGGTGAAGGAATATTCAGTGGTGGAGAGTAATCAGTAGTGGGGAGAAAGAGGAGAACCTAACTCCTAACTCATTTGTCTTGGTTTTGACCTAGTTCTACTTAAAGAATTACATGAACATAGTTAGAACCTTTGCTCACAGTGCCATGACACCACTGAATCATTTTACTTCCAGTGATAATCCTTTGATCAGGTTGCTAGACTCAAAGCTGGAAAAACCAAAAATACAGTGACTTATTATGTTGAACACTATTGTAATACAAAAACTTAGACTAGTACCTGGAACACAGTAAACACTCAGTAAACATCCATTGAATGAAAGAATGAACAAGTGAATAAATGAAAGAAATTTCCTCCCCTCTTTTTAGAGACTAATAATTAATACTGGATTAGCATAATGTGCTTAGAAAACTCTATAGAGTTTAATAGGTTGACATTCTACTTCGTTAGGTAATATGTTTTTCAGCTTGCTCAAAGTAAGTATTAAACCTTGAAACTGTACAGTTCCTCAAGGGCAAAGACCATGTCTCATTCTATTTTGTATCCTCAGCAGCTGGCACTATGCCTGCTACTTGTTAAAAGCTCAGTAAATAGTAGTTAAATATTAAAAACTAAGTGAATATCAAACAGAAACTGACAGATATTTCAAATCATTTAGTTCTTCTAGGCATTGCCTAGTAGGAGACAGTGACAGATAATGGTGATCCCCAGAGGGATCAGACTGGGATGTAGAAATTCAGAAGTCCGAGGCCTCACAGTTTCTAAAGACTCAAAGGGTTATTTATAATCTGAATATGACATTAAGTGCTTTTCTATGATTGCGCCAAACAGTATTTTCTTACACAACTAATTTTAGAATGAGCCATTTGTTTATTTACCCATTCACTTATTCATTCATCCCATATACATATATTTTGGCCATGCCATGGCTTGCAGGATCTTAGTTCTTGGACCAGGGATTGAACCCAAACCCTTGGTGCTGGAAGCATGGATTCCTAACCACTGGACTACCAGGGAACTTCCCCCATTCACTCCATATTAGTTGGGGGCCTACATGTTTGTTTTTTTGGCAAAGATGTATTTAATCTGCCCAAGAGGAAGTTGAATGTTTAAAAGGTCTTCATTCCCTGGAAAGGGCTTCCCTGTGGCTCAGCTGGTAAAGAATCCGCCTGCAATGCGGGAGACCTGGTTTCGATCTCTGGGTTGGGAAGATCCCCTAGAGAAGGGAAGATCCTCCAGTATTTTCGCCTGGAGAATTCCATGGACTGTATAGTTCTTGAGGTTGCAAAGAGTCAGACTTGACTGAGTGACTTTCACCTTCACTTTTCCCTGGAAAAGTATCTGACTAGGAAACTAAAGAAAGATGAGATACTATTTTGTAGAGGCAGATGGAAATTGTAGACATAATACCCTCACAATTCAGACTTAACTAATCTAGTGTATTGTAAAATGTGATCAGCATTGGGTAGAATCACTTGATAGATGACTATTAAAAGGCAGAGATGTCTGGAATCCATTCCAGACACACTAAGTCAAATCATCAGAAGTGAGAGTGGAAATTTCACAAACAGCCTCTAGTGATTTTCATTTTACTCAAGTTTGAGAACTACTGACCACAGGTTTCTTGCTAATATATGACCTACATGTGATTGCTTAATTTAATCTATGTCTACAAAAGTAAGATGTTACTTGGCTGATTCTAAGATGCCTAGGAGTACTGTACATGTGGCTCAAAATTGCCAATACCCTAGACCACAATTCCACTAAATGAATGTAATCATCCTCTCCTTAAACTAATCCAAAATAAACTCTTGCAAAAAGAAAGTAAACCTATCCTTCCCTTAACAAACTCACAATTTAGAAGCAAACTATTACGAAGTATTTGTTATTAAATATAGGAGCTTTTAAACCTGGATATGGCACATTCAAACCCTTCTCAATCTAAAAATAATAAATAATAATCATCAACTGTGAGAGGTAGCTCGTGGCCATGCCAGTCTAGACTGTGCTATCCACAGTGCTACCATCCAGCTGGAACCCTGTGACCTTCCCTTGCCTTACTCCCAAACTCTCTCCTCTTCTTCCCCAGAGATTTTTACTCACTTTCTGAATTTTCCTAATCTGGTCAGAGAGTGTGTCTAACAGGCGAGTTTTCAGGAAGTCCATCACCTTGACCACCCGGCCATCAATGTAGCAACTGGAATAAAAATAAAATAAGAATCAGGTAAAATCTCAAGCAGGAGATTACAAATATATTTCTCTAGCCAGAGGTCTCTGTTGCCTGAGAAACAACAGCCCGGGTTCACTTGAGCTTTTACATTCTAAAAACTTTTGATCCTGCATACTTGTCAAACAAAAATAAACATCTTATCCTCTTTATTTTTACCTCCATCTGTGGGCTAATACTGTGATTTTTTTCGGCCTTTGTCCATTGAAACTGCATTTATTGCTCTATAGGAACTGATAGGAATCCATAACACAAATTGGGTAATGGGGAAAAGCTTACTTTGTTGCCCCCATAGGGAAAGTAATTTAACAACCCTTCCATACCATCCTTACTCCCACTTTAAAATAATAAAGGTATGTGAGAGGTTTTCAAGACTACTCAAACATTTTGAAAGGTTTCCACATCTTTAAATAAGAGAACACCAACCACAAAAAATCAGATTTAGTGCAGTGAGTGAGTCGCAAAAATTTCATCTCCAGTTCACTTCCCTGGCAAAATACCTTGTAGTCAACCTCCTTCCACTTCTACAATAAATGAATGGATATGAATAAACAAATAAGAAAGACAGATTACAGTCCAGGTGCCCTGTCCTAAAATAGCAACATTTGGCACTCCTCAGTGTGGCAGTCCCTGGTTCTCTTAGATGGCTTAAGTGAAACATCAAGTTGTGCTGACACTACGCTGTTAACATTCAACCAAAACAAGTCCATCCGGCTTTGTGTGGACTCTCTGAGAATTCTTACCCTGAAGACTAAGTCCAGAGTTAAGTAACCTCCATTATCTTAAACCTCCCAATACTCGTCTTTGCAAAATTCCAAATTAAATCAATTTAAGTCAAAACTTATGACTCCTGTGTGCCTTTTCCAATCTACTTAGGTCTCCTTGGTTGATGAATAATGATAGACTATGTCATTTTTAGTTAGTCACCAACCTCTCAGTACATGTTTTAGAACCATGTGAAAATCCTTTGTAACCTTAAATTGTCATTCTAATACGTGATGTAGTGGAATGGTTAAAATTCTTTGTAGTCACACTTTGAACCAGGTGCTCTGGCTGCAGTGTGGGTGGTAGCTGAGTGCCTCCCATTCAGCCTTCCCCTTGGCCTCCCTCAGCACGTCACACATTTCCACAGACTCTAATGTTTAAATCATTGGTATATTGGAAAGAGTCCAAGTTTTGGAGCCAGAGATACCTGAATTCAAATTCCATTTCAGGTATTTACTATCTATATGACCTTGGATAACATGCCTGGGCTTTATGAGCCTCGGTTTTCTTATTCTTAAAAGAGAGGTAACCTATCTGCTTCCCAGGATTGTTTGAAGATTAAGCAGATAAACCTAAAGTGTCCGGCATACAGTAAGCATTCAACAACTTTTAGTTCTTTTCTGATTTCTCTAATTTTCAGCTCACAAAGATGGGGTCATAAACAATAGGAGATTGACTAAATTACATGTGTATAGAATTCTAAAAGTGAGATTGTTGTGCCAAAGGGTACATGCTTTTGAAAATTTGGGTGGTTACTGATATTAGGGAATAAAACAAACCAATGACAGGACCTTTCACCTCATTCCTGGTACTAGATGCTAGACTCAGATCCAATAAACATTTACTATGTGTAACACACAGAGCTGGTAATGTCCATATCCATCACCTCACAACCTCTATTAGTAATCCACTGTCAGCACCTCCAGTTGTTTTTTTGGTTGTGATTAGACAGCATACTACCTGAAAGCTGGGCATATGAAAACACTGCAGTGCTCAAATAAAAAAATAATTTGTGCAATGTTAATATAACACATAATGAAGGACATAAATATTTGTATTATACTACATAATGACTATGTGTATGTTAAAAATGTACTGTAATTAGTGTTCTTTTATGTTTTGATCAAATACATTATAGTTTCCTCTTTTTTCTTTGTTAGCTCCCCGTAACTATTTTAAACATCAGAAATATAAATTTTGCTGGCAAAACATAGTTTTAAGGCTCCTTGAGATAAAAGTACCAGATGTACTCTTTCAATATGTAGGATTCCCTGTGAACATGCATCCTACCCCACAGATTCCATGACCCAGGGTTGAAGGGCCTCACTCTTACCCTCCTTCCTCTGGTCACTTTTCTCAAGTACACAAAACTTGGAGTTTGAAAGCCTTGGTTCAAGCTCAGCTTTGCCACATACTACCTATATGATACTAGGCTTCCCCTTCTTTAAAATTGGTTTAAAAAGAACCCAAACATGTATTTTCACAGGGTTACTGTACCCTGTGAATAAAAATCAGGAGAAATGCTGAGAACAGAACATGGCACACAGAAGGTACTCAATAACCAAATCTGTCCTCCAGGTTACTTAAATACCCAAGGTGGTAGCAACCCAAACTAAAAAGCCATGGATGGGATGAGCAGGGAAACACCTATCTGGAGAAAGACACTGTTCATCCACTGGAATGAGGATCTGGAATGAGGGTATTATGGAGGAGCAAAAACAAACTCTGGATTTCCAGTAGGTGGGAGGCAGAGGGAGAGAAAGAGAGAGAGGGAGAGAGAGAGAGAGAGAGAGAGAATGAAATGGGGAGCGCTGTGATTATACTGCAAAAGTTTGGAGTCTGAAAAGATCTTAGTGGTCATGTGGTCTAAAGTAGGTAAGCCAGTGACAACATCCCCGAGAGTGATTATCTGGGACAGGGAATCGACTCTCATACCCTACTAGTACAGATCCATTGTAGCACAGCTCGAACCCAGGAAAGGTTCTTCTACCATGGGTCTAAAACTGGCTTCCTCTTATTGTTCACTCAACAGCTGTTTTCTTGGATCCAGGAATAGTCCAGCTCCTCCTTCATGTGACATGTGGGGGAGGAATTCCAGTAAAAACTTTAGCTTAAGCTTTTTAGAGCCTATTCTTGGCCCCACTCTTAACCTAACAAGCTGGATTCAATCATTCTCAGTTGGTCTCAGGCTATCCTGAGGTCCATGAATTAGACAAGAGCCTAGAGAACTCTAGGCAGGAAACCAGTGTGACAAGGTTATCTTATCTCAACAGTGCAAGCAGGAAGGAATCTGGGTCTAAGTAAGGGAGGTCACAGAAAAAGTAAAAGTGAGAGCCTGTGAAGAAAGAACTAATAAAATAAAGCTGTAGAGTGTAGGAGAGATGGGAAGGGAGTCAGTGATGATTATGAGCTTATGAGAGAGAATGTCTTAGAGGACATTGGTGCCAAGGACACATAGGCTAGTCAGACTAGGTTTTAGGTTTGTCAAAGGAAAGAAATTATTCTGCCTAGATATCAAAGACACAGAGAATATCAAAGAGAAAACAGGTCCTTGGAGATGTGAGAAGTCAGCATAGAGAAAAGTTGAGATAGAAAATGTTGACCTCGCTGTTTTCTTTTCTTCAGTTTGTAAATAATGAATGAAGTCATGGCCATAGATGAGGTCTCTCAGGGAATCAGAGAAGTTAACAGAGATAGGAGATCCTCTAAAAGCTTCTCAGTTGTGGCCCTGAACATTGCCTCTGTCTTTGGCCTGAATAAGAGTCCCTTCCCCAGCCTGACCATCAGTGTCTTTTTAATAATTGCAGTCTGAGTCAGATTCACATCTGGATGCCAAGGAATCCCATATTACCGTGAAGTTTCACCAACTTTCATTTGCAAACATAAATCCACATTTATATTGTACTATGGAAATAAGAACTTTCAGTTAAATTCAGTCGCTCAGTTGTGCCCAACTCTTTGCGACCCCAAGAACTGCAGCACACCAGGCCTCCCTATCCATCACCAACTCCCAGAGTTTACTCAGACTCACGCCCGTTGAGTCGGTGATGCCATCCAACCATCTCATCCTCTGTCATCCCCTTCTCCTCCTGCCCTCAATCTTTCCCAGCATTGGTACCCTGGGACAATTAGCTTGCTGCACTTCCTATACGTGAAGCTTCTTAGAAAACACTCAATGTCAGAAGTTTGTAGTTGTTTGAAAAACTCTTGCCTATTACAGATATTTGGCTCTCAGATAGTGGCTGCCTATGGTAAAGGGCTCAATATATCAGTTAGATTTGGACATAAGAGCCTATGATAACCACTTGGAAAGAATAAATTGTTAAAAATGGAAAAGATGGTGATTTCTAACCAAGACTGGGTAAGTGGAAGTGACACTGGATTCCAACTGACTGTCCAGTGATGGGGGGCAACTCTCTGTGCTTTCCTCTGTCTTCCTCAGTGGGAGAGTAAAGATGATTCTGAGCTGCCAAGGTTTCTTCTCAAGAGTTAACTAGCTTAGTGATGGCTACAAAGGCACCAGAGGACCAAACAAAATCAGAGAGGAAAGGCAGGGAAAGAGAGAGGAAGGGAATTTGCCAGTAAGATGTGCTTTGGCACCTTCCATATAAACCTGGCAGAGTGGTTGGTTCTAGAAATGCTTAGATTGATAATTTTAGATAACTCATAGTCCTCCTCTAAACTCTCTTGAAATCTCAGCATCTCTTAGGATCACACCACAAATGGCTGAGCTATTCAACTAAAAGCTGAAGCGAGGAGAGGCTGTGCAGAAATACCCTTTATGTGAACTATTACTACAAACACAATGGGCTTGAAACCTTTGTGTGTGGACAAATAGCCTGTCTGGCTCAGTACCAGCAACCATCATTCCTTCCTCTGATGGCCTCCAGATCGGCAGCTCACGCCAAGCACACACCTGGGAAGGTAGCAAAGATGACAGAGTATACAAAGTAAATGGAACTACTTACCAAATCATTCACCAACTCTCTTGCTCTCTTTTGTTCTAAATTTTATTTTTATTTTAATGCTTTTCATCTTATTTAAACGTCTGCCCTTTATCTGTTTATTATAAAAGAAACAAGTGCTCATTGTAGACAAAATAGGAAATGCACATAAAATTAAAATATGAAAATGAAAAATCACTGGTAAGTCCAACACCTAGAGAAACTCATGGTTAACGTTTTGACTTGTGCCCTTTCAGACTT